GGAGAATGTCCGGCCGTCAGTTTGTGACCTCAAGCTCAAGCGCACTTGGGTTATGCAGTAGGACAATGATCCCAAACACACCAGCAAGTCCACCTCTGAATGGCTCAAGAAAAACAAAATTAAGGTTTTGGAGTTGCCAAATCAAAGTTTGGACTTAAATCCGATTGAGATGCTGTGGCATGAGCTTAAACAGTCCATTCATCTACATACATTTTTTCTTTCTTGAATAGGTGTTATTCTGTACATCCTCCTTGTGGGTTACCCTCCTTTCTGGGATGAAGACCAACATCGACTTTACCAGCAGATCAAAGCTGGTGCATATGATGTAAGATTTCTTAAACAGATATACAGTATATCATATATAAGTTACGTAACAATAACATACTCGATTCTTAAAGAAATGCTGAATATGCTTCATTTATGCTTCTTACAGTGCTAGACACGTTTATAATTGTCCTCATTCAACTATTTATCTACATTTGATACTCTCTGACAGTTAATAAAGAGAAAGCAACACAGACGTAGTAACTCAATGCAAATCATAATTTTGTGTAATTTATTTTGCGTTAGGCAAATCATACTTTTCCATCAGAGAGTGAAGGAGAAAGTAACAGAGAATGAGCAGTCCATTGGCTTCTGTCCAGCTTGGCTCAGATGCCCAGCTATTTAGTATATGTGAATGAGACTAAATTATTTCCCTAAACGTGCTTCTATACATTGCCTCATCTGGCTTCTTTGGACCTGATCTTCTGAAAGGCTCTATCTGTTATTGATAGGACATTCAGAATTTTTATTCATGCAGAATAGTACATTATAATGCAGCAGCATCACTTTAGACACATTTTTGGTTTACAGTCATGTTTTTGCACTGGACATTTTGGGCCCTATCATACACCCGGCGCAATGCGGCACCAGGCGTGACGCAAGTGTTTTTTGCTAGTTTCAGCCCGACGCAGTTGTCATTTAACGTCCTGCGCCACGTTGTTTAAATAGCAAATGCATTTGCGCCCATTTGTGCACCCATGGGCATGCTGGTCTGAAAACGAGCTGTGTTCAGGCGCATTGCTGACGCGTTGCTATTTTGAGGCAACTGAAATAGACTGCGTTATAGTCAATGGCGCAGTAGTTTTTTTTGTTATTTAAAGAGCGCGTTAGTATAGGCGGGTCCACAGCGCGCGTACACAATGCTTATTACACGCACAGGGACGCACAGCAGCACACAAACATGCCAAATATTAAAGATTAAAGGATTGCAATGTAAAATATTATTATTGTATAGGCTACATGAATATAAAAATGCCTACATGTCATAATGGATAGTCATTGCATGTATCAGAATTAGGCTACCTATTTCCTCGTGCACGAGCAGCTCAGCTTAATCTCTGGAGATGCGTTCTTTCTTTGCGCTTGCAAATTCCACAGTGTAAATAGCTAAGCCGCCATGGCACGAACGCAACTGGCTCTTAAAGGGAATGGGAGATGAGACTCTGATTGGTTTATTGCACGTTATGCCCAAAACACACCCATTACTCATTAAGAGAATAGGGACAACCCTTTTAGACCATGTGCCAGGCGCGCCGGCCGTTTTTCCCGTTGTTAAACTAGCAAAAGTGGATTTGGACACTGCACCTGCGCCGTGCGCTTTAGACCATGCGCTTAAATTGTTAAAATAGGGCCCTTTGTCTCTCTTATCTCACACACTCAGTTCAGTTCATGAAGCTCTCTCCTAGCTGATGATCTGAATCACATGTGAAACATACTGTGGCTCCCCAGATCCAGGAATGAAAACCACTGTTCAGTGTGGTATCAAAGCACAGCCTTAGGTCTGTTGAATCTGTGTGTGTGTGTGTGTGTGTGTGTGTGTGTGTGTGTGTGATACATGCATATTTTGAATCTGCTTTGCAATTTGAACAAAATACTTTTTTGGTTTGAGGACATTTTTAAGACATTTGATGTTGAATAATGTCAAAATGCTCTATTATTTTGTATAGTATATCTGGAACAGCTGCTTGTGTGTGTGTGTGTGTGTGTGTGTGTGTGTGCTTTCTTTCCCTAGTTTCCCTCTCCTGAGTGGGACACAGTGACACCAGAGGCCAAAGATCTGATCAACAAGATGCTGACTATAAACCCCGCCAAACGCATCACAGCAGCTGAGGCCCTCAAACACCCCTGGATCTGTGTATGTTTACTCACTTTCTCATACACACACAAGTTTGCTGTTCTGTCTAAAAGGGGATGTAGATGTAATGTTTTTTTTTAATGTTTTGTCCCTTAAAATATGGTTAGGGAGGTACAGACATGCAATAACACACACACACATTGTTATTATCTACACTGTATTTACATACTGTCATCAGTGTTGGGGAACATCACTTTTAAAAGTAATGCATTATATTATATTGGATTACTCCTAATCAAAGTTATTAATTCCATTTTAATTGTGTAAGCCAGTTATCATTATTATTATTTATTTTAATTAATAATGAAGTGAGAATTCAAATTATTTTTGCACTTCACCAAAAAGTGTCTCAGTGCACAATTACTTCTGCATTTAGCTTCTGCTAAGATAAATTGGTACAACTGTTAAAAGAATGTGCACCAAATGTTTGTTCCTGACAGTGAGCCCTGTCCTTTTCTTTAGTTGATTCTAAATAATGTACAGGACTTGTATGCTTTTTTTACCCCTGCAAAAGATAGATTTTAAGAATAGATCTGAAACTGTTTTTGATTTATTGTTTACCTGTCTGTATCATAGCAACGTTCCACAGTGGCATCCATGATGCACAGACAGGAGACAGTGGAATGCCTGAAGAAATTCAATGCCAGGAGGAAGCTTAAAGTAAGAAACAGAAACAGAGTCATGTAAATGCACAAACACGCAGCATTCTAGTTGAAAACATACTTAATGCTGACTAATAATCACAAAAAAAGCACTTTTTAGCACTTCATGGGGCTGTTACCCATTATAAATTGATTTGAATCTCTATAAGAGTTGGATGGAGGGTAAGGGTTGAATTTTTATTAAAGGTTATAAAGATAATTGTTATACTGTATTTAGAATAGTGTGCATTATATACAAAAAGAGCAGGACCAAAAAAAATGTCAATTTTTGTTTCATGTTGACTTTTGTCTACTTGGGTTTTTAGCCTGAATTACATTTAAAATGCTTACCACCTAGATTAATCGTTATCCACTAGCATTGAATAATATTTTACACAGCTACCAAGACTCATGATTAAGTTGATCTTTGCCTTTCTATTCTTTCTGGACTGTTTTAGGGTGCTATCCTTACTACAATGCTTGCTACACGGAACTTCTCAAGTAAGAAACTCTCTTCAGTTTACTTTGCATTTGCTTTTTAATAGTTGTTCTTTGAATCATGTCAAAAGGTTGAAGTTATGCTCTTTTTATATTTGAGAAGATGTTAAGCATCTTAGATAATACAGAAGATTTTAACATTTTCATTGCAGAAGGGCTGTAAAATTAGCCAGTTTAAGGTCAGAATGGTCTTGTCCAATTACTAAACTGTAAAAGGCTAGGATTTAATTAAATAAAATGTTAGTGTGCAAATAAAATGTTAATAGTACATAGTAAATGGGCTATTTCAGTGTCATGTTTGTCTTTTTGTGCTATTAGCTTGTGATGTCCAAAGCACCAGCAAAATTACATATTTATCATATCATGGTTCAAATAGCAATCACAATGCATATCAAAATAATCACAATTTTTATTCTTATTATTAAATTGTACAGCCCTGTAACAACGTGTTTCAAAAGTAGCACTTCACTGTACAGTACATTTTTGTTTGTCTTATTACAAAATCAGGATCTTGCTGACACAAAAAAAATATTTAATTTGCTTCTTAATCACATTTCGTTACATTATGCAAATATTTGATTATGTTTCATCCAGGGGGTTTGATTTTGAGGCCAATGGATCATGAGTGCATGAAGCACAGTGATCGAAAATTTCATTATGTACTATTTTAGACATTAAACACTAATCCTGTCTGCCCCTAACCCTTTCCTTTTATCCCACTTTATGTTCACAATTATTCTTTTCATTTCACTCAACAGGCAAGAATCCATACAAGAAACCTGATGGTGTTAAGGTAGGTTACTGTATGTAAGCTAAGTATTAAACTTTGAAACGTACTATATGTGCCATGGACATTAACTATTATTTTGTCTATCAAATGACAAAAAGTGTGACAAAAAATATCAAGAATATTAATTAGGTGACATGCCTTTCACCCAGTTGTATTTAGTAACTGATTTGTGGGAGGTAAATGGACATGAACCATAGTAGTATTCCCACTATGTGTATGAATTGATGCTACACCCCTGGACCTACATTAAATATATAACACAGAGCTGTTTCGTTTGGTTCCTGGTCAGCAACTGCACATGCGCATACATTAGTTCTCTTTTGGGTCATGGCTTCAGAAAGCATTTCTGGAGGATGGGTCAGCTCCAGTGGGGACATATATAGACATATTTTTTAGTTTGATTGGGTATGTAGGACTATGTATATAATGTATATCTGTCCTACAATCCTGTAGCGCCTTTTTTATAAACAATGCTCATTGTCTACATACTGGTTTGCTTTCAGTATTCACATTATTACATTTTTTTTACTCTCCCTTTTTAAATAAAATAGATAAGACTCTTCTGTTCTTGAGGTCCAGCATTTAGGGTCACTGAGTAACCCAGATCTTTATATCTCACACTCCAATTCACTGTTGTCTCTCCAACTGATTCATATAGCTAACACATGGGTTGTGCCTTTCAAACCATGTGAAAGCAGTGTTAATCTGTGCTGAATGAGTTTTGGAATAGTGTTTTAAGTTATAGGCTGTATCCAAACTTTATTCAAGAAGAGTGTCTGAAAGTATCAAAGTAGGCCTATGTTGGAAGAACTTGTCAAATGTGCCTTGATTTTTAGGGGATTATCAAAAATTGTCCAAAAAACTAAACAAAAACTTGGTTTTGAGAATAATGCATTATGGTGATATGGAAATCTGTATGTTTGAAAGGTATGAAATCTGTACATTTTTGTTGCAATTTGTTGTCGTGAGAAGGCTAATTGTGTGTGTATATATGCAGAAAAAGCTGGGTATGTTTATAGTAGTTGCAAGTTAGTTATAAGTTCATTATCCAGTAATATGGAAATCTGTATGGGATGGGAGATATGACATCTTTGTTTTGTTAAATGGTATGAAATGTTGTGTTACATTTATAACAATTTGGTTTAGAGAAAAGCCGTTACAGGGTTTAAGATTTTGGTTGTTATATCGCCCACCCTTGGGCAGATGAACTGATTTCATCCTGTGCTTTAACAGGGTTGCAAACTCTTTTCATGACTTAAACTGAATTACTTAAACTGAGTTGGTGTGTCTGAGTCCCAAGCTGCGCTAGGAAAACAGTGCTATTCTGTAGTTTAGGAGCCATGGATGTGATGGATAGCGCAATAGAAGGTCACATAAGTAATGAGGGCCTAGACCCAGACCATTCAAAGATTTGTGTATAATGAGCATAATGTAACAGGCAATCAGTGAAGTGATGATAAAATTGAGCTGATATGGTAATATTTATTGGTTATAATAAGCACGCTAGCTGCTAACGTTTTTGATTCTACAAGACATCCATCGGTTTGCACATTACATCCAAAGACAGATTATATTCTGAGGATCCAATAACTGAGAAACTTGGTCCAATAACTAATACTTTTGATCTGTCAAAATTTAGAAGAATTAAATCACTAGCCATCCATTCTTTGATATCACACTCAAATACACTCAAAATAAGCATGGTAATTTGAAATGTTTCAATAAGTCTAATCATCTGTGTAACAGTGGAAACTATTGCCATGGTTCCCGATAATGTCCCCCTAAGGAAGCATAGAAAAGTAAAGGCCGTAATACTGAGCCCTGTTTGACTCCATATTTTACTCGTGTTCTATCTGACACCTTGTTATTAACACAAAGACACTGATAGAATTGAATAGGGAGGACCTGAACTATGCTAATCTCAGCCCACAAATTCCATCTTAATTCTTGAGCCTATCCAAAAGAATGTCATAGTCTATAGCAGTGGTTCTCAACCATGTTCATAGAGCTCCCCTAACACTGTACATGCTTCATCAAACGCACCCAGTTCAGGTCATCAGTTCCTTGGTAGAGATTCTAATACCTGAAATGGGTGTGTCAGACAAGGGAGACATACTGTAAGTGTTAGCTAAATTAAGTTTGCATTAATCTGAATGTTTTAAAATATGTCCCTTTTATAGGTTCAATTGACACTGCAGTTGACACCCTTCGGGTGTGACTGTTGTCTGAAGCCCAAATTCATTCGCTAATGATGCACACACTGCCCTATGAGGCACTTTTGTCGCCAGAGCCCCAAAAGGTTGCATTAACACTATCACTCCCCAAGTTTCTCTTTTTCTGGAACATTTTATCAAGCCATGGTTTTTAAGAAGCTTTTGGATGATTATTTAGATTATTTAGATATAATTTTTAGCAACAGTTTTAGCAACCCATGTCAAGTTTATCTTTTCTCACAGAGGAACTGGATAGCTTTCTGTAAGTGTGTGCTACTGTGTGCTCCTTTCATTATGAGCGAGAACATGCATACAATAAGTGTGTTGAGTGTTTTGACTTTAAACATGTTAAAGCAGTGTTTAACAACTGTTCAAACTGCATACACTATGCTAATTTCAAGATTAAAGTGTTTCGCTCAAGGCTGGCCTTCTTATCGAGAAAAGGAGGACAATCAGAAATCCCCCATCAGCACATGTTGAATAGTCACGACGAGGCGTTCCCCATAGCGACCCCTAGAGGACGCAGTGTCTCGTTCCCCTCAGGGAACCATGGTTACATAAGTAACCCGAGACGTTTGTTGGACAAACCCATTGCACATCTAGGCGTCTTTACTAATGAGGTGATGATCTGAATTAGGTGTGCTTGATTAGGGAGGCATTCAAAATGTGCAGCGTTGGGGGTCCAGTAGTTCTGCAGTTGCTGAGGCACTGCATGAGCTACGTAGGATCTTGGGGATCTGATGTTGTGTTTGAGGCTATGGAGGAAGACCCAACAGATTTTTCCCTTTTTCTGTCATTCTCACCGGAATACATGCAGCATATTTCTCCAGTGGAATTTGCATGTGCCTAAGCCTGAACGTCTGTGATGCAATCTCCTTCAGGCTTGATGTTCTGTCCACTGCTGCTTCAGACTCTTGACTGTCAGGCAGGTGTTCTTCCTCCAAATAGTCAGAAAATGCATGAGCCAGCCCAGCCAGCGGAACAGTCTAAATTAGACAAACTCTCCTTGGCTGGCAAGAAGGTCACTGCCATTTTTTTAAGGATCTCCGTCAGGTCCTGGAGGTCCTTAAAGTCTTTCACTCAACACACATCACTAATCATGCTGCTTCAGACTTTACCATTTTCAGTTTGTTGGAGCAAGGGTATACTGAAATGCCCACAGCTGAAGAGATGTTTAAAGAGAGACAGCCCCCTCAGAAAGACTGGGGTTTGCGGACTCACGCGGTGGCACATTTGTGCCCACTCAGGCGTATAGACCTGAGGTCAAAAGCTACAGCTCCTCAACCATTGTTCCAAGAGGGCCGATCTTGGTCAGATGGCCCGAAAAGAGACTGAGGATTATGTCAAACAGCAGAAGTGTATTTGCCTTTCCCCTTACTGTCCTCCAGATTCTCTTCTGTCAGTGCTGTCATGTTTCACATTTCAGGCAACAGTATATCGACCGTGCATCTTGAAACATGGTCTTCACACTTGTACTCCACACAACGGAAACTGTGAAGTTACTTATTTGAAAAAGTAACTTAATCAGATTATTTAAAGAAAAACAATTCTAATTAATTATGTAACGCGCATTACTTGTAATGTGTATAAACCGTAATACTCAGGTCTGGGCTTTGAACAGACCACTCAAGTACTTTCCCAATAGAGTCTGTATACCACTTTTTTTAGCTCACTGCGTTCACATGGGTATTGTCAATTTAGAACAGAAAAAAACCCTCCAAAAACTAAATTCTCTACAATGTCATTGCATGGGGTAGCATTAATATTTGTTTTTTAATGGAATAGCTAAAACTCTTAATTATAAGAGAGGGTCCACATATATAGTGCAAAAGTATATTGTACAAAGTGGGATACAGTCTCTTTGTCCCAATCAAACATGGCAAAGCTGAAAAATAAAATGTTTATGTAGACAAAGTTTTAATGTTTTTCCTGTCATATACAGTATGCTTTGATAAAAGCATTTCCTTTTCATGAGAGGATAAGAATATTGTTGCCACAGTTTTTGCTCCAGAATTAGTACAATGAGAAATGCATCATCTGGTAGCATGGTGATAATAAGGGTTTATTTTTATGTTTTACTACATCTAACTGCAGAAGTTGCAATGGTGAGACGTGCTAGTTATAATAATCTCATTATTTGTATAATTCTCTAGTTACTAGTACTGTAATTCTCTTCTTTATAGCTCAGTTTTAGACTGAAAACCTTTTCAGTTGTATACTGTTCTTTGGTAAAATTCTGGATTATTTACTAGTGTAGAACATCCAAGTTTTTAATATCATAAGGACCCAAGGCATGATGCCTGTAAAAATGTATTACATGTCTGCTTCATATCCTTTATGGTTTTCTTCATTGATCCCAACAGCAAAATAGGGGTAGGTTTAATTGGCTTAAGAAGAATGAAAAGCATATTAACATGATTGTTACTGGAATATTATATTCAGGGTTACTTTAAATTCAGTTAGATTATAGTCTCTGTAGTCTGATAGGGAACACTGTATGTATTTAATAGGAGTGTGTTTTTCTTTTTCTTTGTCTTCTTAAAAACATGTATAATCCATCAAAAAATTAATGACCGCTTCAATAGAAGAGGATTTTGAGAGGTTTGGTAGGATAATTTGATGCCAATGAAAAGTCTTTGCTGCGTCATGCTGTTTAATGATCTAGTTGTTTCCCTGGGAATCTGTGAATTACATGAACTCCTCTACAAGATTATTCTGTTGCAAACTTTACAAATCAGACTTTTATGCCTGTTAGACTTTTATGGCTTTTAAATAACTTGTCATTTCCACCGCATAATTCAGACAGAATTGTAAATGCCATTTTGCATAAATGACCGTTTCCAATGAAAATCTAATTATTTGACGGTCCAATTTGGCTGTAGTTAAGGAATAGTTCATTGTGATTATGATCAATGCTAATTAACTATTCCTTAAACATCCATGTAACGCAAGCTGTGTAATATCAGTTCAGTTTTTACATTTTAGATTAATAGAATTTGACGTTTCCCTTGCTGTTCTAAAGCTTTGCTTGTCTGCCTCTGTCCCCTCCCACCTATAGATCAACAACAAAACCAACGTAATCACCAGCCCTAAAGAACCTGCCCCATCTCCTGCTCTGGTATTTTGTTTGTATGACTGTTTGTCAGTTGCTTTTTCTTACCACTGGCTTCACATTTCTCTCTTTTTCTTTCTTTGTTGGCATGCCCTTTCTCTTTTAAATCAATTCAGCACCTTCTTCGTGTGTGAAATCCTGCATTAAAATAATGCAGTCGGTCAAATAATTAGCAATATTCTGAAAGTGTGGGTATGTATTCTGCATTTATATATCAATGCAGAGAGAGAATAATTCCAAAGTAAGTATTTCAAATAATGGTAACAATTACTGTGACAAAAATGTGTACTGTGGACTAGAGTGCTAAATGAAGTATTATGTTTTATTTTGTTTGTATTACAACATTCAAGTAAACGTATAAATAAGCAGATATATTTATAATTTCTTAAATATAGAACCGTTATATTTAATAATTCAATTATTTTATATAGGCTATACTTTATTTAATGGTTGAGTTTTTAAAAAATCCTAAAATGCTTAATCAGATATGTCCATTGGTGTCATTAGTCTATGCGTATGCAAGTTCCATGTAGTCATTAATCAGTAATCAGTAATCATTAACAGTGTGTTCAAAGAACACCTGAATGGGGTACTAAATAAATAGACTGCTCCATTGTACAGCTGTTTTTACAGGGTATAATATATTTACAGACCATATTTGAAATGTTTGAAAGCAATGTACAAGATTTTTTCCAGCAAATTTCTATCTGTTTGCAAATGTGTCATGCTGATAGTTTGGTATATAGTTTAGTAAGGGTTTTGTGCTTGTTACTGATTACCCCACAATAAGAAACGTTTTCATGTTCTTAAAATTGACCTTATAGAGTGTATTTTGGGGACGTTCACTTCATGCTGTGCTCAAGGCCTCTCCATGTAACCTTTGGCCGGTGCTTGTGTGTTTGCAAACTGACTATTCTTTCCTTGTGCATACATGAGCTAACCATGTTTTTAAAAGGTGCATCATTGTGTGTTAAAGGGTTAGTTCACCCAAAAATGAAAATTACACCATGTTTTACTCACCCTCAACTTAAGGCATCCTAGGTGTATATGACTTCCTTCTTTAAGATTAATCCAATCGGAGTTATATTAAAACTTGTCCTGGCTCTTCCAAGCGTTAGAATGGGTGTAGGCGGGTGTTTTTGTTCAACAGTCCAAAAGTAGTTAAATAAAGCACGCGCATCCGTAATAAAATGTGCATCTGGGGGTGAATAAAAGCCTCCTGTAGCGAATCCATGCGTTTTTGTAAAAAAAAAAATGCGCATTGCAATATGAATGGATGTGCTTTATTTGACTACTTTTGGACTGTTGAACAAAAACACCTGCCTACCCCCATTCTAACACTTGGAAGAGCCATAAATGCTGGACTCATGGATGAGTTTTATTTATTCTAGACTATATTTATTTCCTGCACTAAAAGTTAAAAGTTTGCACACATTATTATTATTATTATTATTATTATTATTATTATTAGAATAGTACCATATTTTAGAATAAAAGTCATCAAAACTCTGAAATAACACAAATGAAAGTTTGTGAAGTTTGTAGTGAGCAAAAATGTTGAATAAATCAAGACCAACTTCTTCATAGTAGCCATCATTTGTTAAGATTCTAGTTCTGCTCACTGTTCTTTTTTTAACATGATTCGCGAGGTTCATCATATATATATATATATAATGTATATGTACAGTATATCAGTTCTACACATAAAAAGAAATGTTGTAGATAAACTGAAAATGCACTAGTAATTTTCTGCCAGGAATGTATTTTCACAAGTAAATGGAAAATTAACAGTTGGTGCATTTACAAAACTCTCTACAAGTACAAACCTCCAAGATAAGAATACCTGCAACACAGTTTGTCCTTCATTGAAAACCTGTTGTTGTTCTTTATTTGTACATGTTTCTCTTGGAAACCAACCATTGTTTCGACATGACTATGAGATACAGTATAATGAGAACATTTGGTTTAATCATCAAAACACAACAGAATAGTGTCCTTACGATTTGGTCATTTTAATTATTAGTTGATTAAATAAAGCTATTCAGCATACATGTTTTAAATTGCTCCTATGAATGAAACATATGCAATAACAAAACATTACCAACACTTGAAGCAAACCCCAGAGACTGAATGAAGGTTTTGAAAGGCTGGCTTGTGTTCTTCCTGATACTTTCTTGTGTTACTGCATGCTTTGGCTGGGTATGCTGTACTTTTGCTCTAGTGAAAATGTACTGTAGTAAGTATTACCCATATTTCCATCTCACAATTACATGACCAATTGTCTAAACCAGTATGCTCTTCTTCTTTTCTTAAGTTCACCAAGATTTGTTAGAAAAAGTTACTTTAAGATATTGGAATCCTGACTTCACATGCTTATTAATTTCAACATCGTCATTCATTTCTGTCAGCTGAATTTGTAATTTATGTAATTTGCTAATTACTATTGCTAAAATTCTTCACTAAATACTTTCCATGAATATGGTTAAACATTAGATGCATTATCTTGCACATAATTTACATGGGAATTTTTAAAGATAAACTGCTGTCTACTATAATAAATTTACCTGAGCACATTCAGGATAGTAACATCTAGGCTCTCACTGACTCGGCGTGTAATGCTTGGTGTCCTTTAACTCTTTAACTCACAACTGCTTATTCTGACACACTTTATCTCTTGTTATTTTGTTTTATCTTCCTTTCTCTCCCTACGCACCTCTATATCAGGAGCCTCAAACTACTGTTATCCACAATCCCACTGATGGAAATAAGGTATTAAGTGTTCGATGAGGATCAAGTTTTTGAAATTTTAAGATCCAAGGGATATTGTGAGTTATTTTGAACTTAATGTCTATGTAGTGCATCTGATGCATGCTGTCTGTTATCTCAGAGATAATAATTCAGTTTGTAAAGATACAGCCTAGCAAGCAAGAGGGATGGAAGGTTTAAAGTCTGAAATGTTAAGCTTGTTTACCCTCATTTCATTCTTTTGCAGAATACAAAAGATGATATTTTGAAAAATATTTAAACAATTTTGTCCATATAATGAAAGTCAGTGACGTCCAAATTTTGCTAGAAGTATTGAAAAGGAATACATTTTACAAAATAATGGTTAATTTAACAGTGACAGACAAGCACAATCTGTCTACAGTAAGACACAAACAATTGTAATTTTTAGATTTTTATTGAATTCACGGAGTAATATTCAATGCAATTTTAAGAACAACTCAGTGTTATTAGTTAAGTCAGAGAGTGACTTTCTATAATTGTGACTTTAATGAAGATCATCATAAACTTGATGCAGTGTAGCTTGTTTAGACTACTAGAAATAATTGTGTGCCTGGTTGCAAGCACTTTTTTCTAAAATATACAGTTACAGTTTTTAAAATATACAGATACACTTTTGTCAGTGTATGAACAACATTTGTAGCATGCTGTTGATTACCAGAGTATAAAACTAGATGCTGTCAGAATTCACAATCTTATTCTTGGCACTGTATGTTTGCTAGGGCATCATATACAGTACAGTACTTGTCAGTGACAAGTTGTCGTCATTATATTGTGTTTATCCTTTGCATGTTTCAGCAGATGTTTTCTTCAGATGTTTCTTTAGTATCTCAATAGTTCGGTTCACTTTGCACAGTGGAAATAAGTGCTGTTCTTGTTTGGTTAGGAAATAGAACACATGATGTTAAAATTTTATAATCAAACTTTTCTGGGTCAATCATCACATCAACATGCATAATTTCTATTTTATCTAGAACAATGTTAATAAAATGCATCAAGTCGGTTATTCTGCAATGTGAAATTAGGTTTGGAACTTCTGGAAAAGGCGGTTTGCTGGCCAAACTAGTGTTTATCTAACTAACCCAAAGCACCTCCATCAATACAGGGAAGGTCAATTAACTACTTCATACCACAGGCTGGTTTCAGCTTCTTTTTACAACAGGGGGGTTACTATTTCTGACCGTTTTAATCATCATTTAACTTGAGCCAATTTAAAATTCAAATTATTAGTAAATTACTATTTAAAGGAATTACTATTTAAATTCTTAAATTATTTGTTTGCTTGTTTGTTTATGTGTGTATTTTTGTTCCCTTTCAGGAATCATCAGAGAGTGCCAACACCACTATTGAAGATGAAGACATTAAAGGTACAGTTGAACCTAAACCAAACTTAAATTGTACATTGTACAATAAGTTGGTACCCTGTGATCTAGTACGTTCTTGCTCTACCTATACATTTATATTTATATTCATATTCACCAGTTTAGTAAACAAAAAAAGGGTTGTTCTCAGACAGGAAACATTTGTGCTTCAGATTTCCAGGATTCTTAAGAAATATTTTAGTTGAAAACACTACTGTTGAACTGTCCTGCTTCAGGCCTAAAGTACCACCATAGGGGGATGCCCACTCCACCTCCATACACCCCACCAGTTTTTAGATAAGTGGTCAATAATTATGGGTTTTCAGTAGCCAATTCTTTAACTATTACTCTCACACACGATAAATACAGGTTGAATGCAGTCTTTCACTGTACTTATGTACTGTATCATGCTATTAAAGTGGAAACATGCAGAATGAACATCGCTGATCACCTGTTTCCTGCATGTGCACTTTATTATTAGTTTGGCCCGCTGTACCCAACTTGGTGGTCACGGTTGGTGAATATCTGTTGAGATTAAGCTTTTTATTTCAAGCTTTCTTTTCACATGCCTGCTAACTTTCTGTTCCTCTTTTTTTTGCTGTTATGAGCTTTGAAGGTAGAACAATGATTCTGTCTCTTTAATGCAACTGTGTGATCTTGTGTAATTATGTGTAGATTAGGTTGTGTGATGTAAATGTGGGTGGTCCGGTGACAGTTTGTGTGTGTGCATTTGTGCCATGATTTTTAATGACATTTAATGGTATTTTAATTTGTTATTTATTTTGATTCTTAACATCAAGTTGTATAAGGTTGAATCTCATTACACCTGTTAATAACTTAATTTTTTAAATGTATTGTTAATACCCAATATTTTTCTTTGCTTAAAGAAACCTATTTGTACAGTAGGATCTTTAAGATTTTTGTACATACACGTCTCCCTTACTGCTTATATGAACTACAAAAATGATGGAATTGGTTCTTGTGTATCTTGCAAACCGAACACCATAATGTCAAACCTGTGAAGAATGAATGTTTTTTTTTTTTTTTTTTTACATTTCAACAAATCTCTACCATAGAACTTGCATAAGTCCGCAGTGTGAAAGATGAATGCGTTTAAAAGGGAGATATTTCTGTACCATCTGTCTTTCCTTTGCTGTTTCATTAATGTCTTTGTTTTCAGGGGATGCCCTGCAAACAATGTCAATCTGTTATTCACCTTATGTCATTTCTACTCATACTCATTTTATCCTTTTTCTCCTTTTTTAACAACCTTACCCTTGCTTTTTACCCTCCCACTATCAATCCGTGTCTTAATTTATTTGCTTTCCTGTCCACCAATCTGTCCACCCAATCATTCATCTGTCTTTCTATCCATCCACCCATCCTGTCCTTGATGTTCTTCCCATATTAATATACCCTCCAAATGGCACATTTACTAGAACCAGTATACCGCCTGCCTACTGCTTCTCCTAGAATGTACAAGCTTGAACAATCTCATTCCCAGCAGTCTTGTTCTTCCACTTCCTCCTCTGTCTCATCCTGCTGGTACCTCCCAAACATGTGGCCTGAAGAAGTCTGCTGTAACCGCATTCTCAAAGCCCTCCTGGCACTCTACCTGCTTGTTTTTCTATTTGCCTTTTTGGCCTTCCTCTACGTCAACTCAACAGCCGATTGTGGCCAGTGCATTAATCCTAAGGCTGCTCCCAAACGGTCTCAGCTAATCCAGAGCCACATCACCATTCAGTGTAAGTGACAGGGGAGGGAGACAGGAAGTCAATGCACAGTTTTAAAATGGTGTACACTGATAGCTGAACCATTAGACATGATTGCAAATGAGTAAAAATGACTTGATGGTGTACCCTTTTTTTTTTTTTTTTTTCCTGGGATTTGCACACACAAGACCTCAGCTGTTGTTCGTTAAGCCAAGCGATATCTTATTTTTAGATGCTGGATCTGGCTTTCTAAACTCTGTAACAGTATTTAATGTGTGATTCAGTCTGGAATTTATTAATTTTTGTCAGGTCATATATATCCAGAAGAATATGTACAGTAAAAGTAATGCAGAGATCAAGGATTAGCTAAACATGCAGCTCCAAAAATGGTGCAACACAAGTTTCCGTAAGGGAGTTCATATTCATACATTCATTGTGTCTATAGAGATACTGTTTTGTCTTCATCAATTTTTCTTTTTTAAAAATAAATGAAAAAAATGACTTCCGGAAACAAGTCTGCTGAAAACATGGGTGATCACGGCACTCGTTTATGAAATTAGATTTCTTTGTGAGTGAGCCTGCCCAGTGCTTAATTTGAGCCGGATCCTACCAGATCCTGTTCCGGAAAATGTCAGATTTTGGATTTTTGTGTTCGGTATTTGTTTTTAAAGATCCGGCATTAGCAAGTGCATTAGATCGTGACAGTGCGTGCATACGAGACAGAGTGAGCGCGGGTTTATGTAGATGTATTTGGAGGTTATGTATTGGTCCTCAACATATTTTTGAGTTCAAAATCGCTCTCAATGCTTACTGCTTATTTTGTGAGCAGCAGAACGTTTGGAGAGAGTGTATGTATGTACATGATAATATACATAACAGCAGAGTGGACCGGTGTTCACGCTGAACGGCATGGATTATATATACGGACTACTTAAATTGACCAGTGTAACCTTTTATTTATTTGGTTGACTGTATTTTATTTTGATAATGAACCGACTGCGTTGTCAAATTTGAATTGCTAAAATATGTGGTGTGTGTGTGCGAGGCACCGGCGCAATCGAACAGCTGAAACATAAAATACTCCATCATTTTTGGTCATACAGATAAGAGTAAAACATAATTCGAAAATGCTAAATGTGCATACTTTTATTTTTGCACACTCACAATAAAAACAGAACATTTGTGCTTTTGTAAAATAAAGCAAACAAACAGGATGTGCGTTCTGCCATCTCAGTTCTTGGTTTCCTTTCCGTGAACTTGTTTGTGGAGCGCTGCGCATCACACCTGTTTTAAATCTGTTAGTTATTTAAGTCAGATATTTTTCTCATATTTATACCTTTTATACATAGACTATGATTTTATTTTATTTTTATGAAAACAAATTTTATTTTTATTAAATTTTTTAATGTAATTTACATATATACATTTTCCTTAAATCATCCTGTGACACATTTTTGACCCAGGGTTTGAAAACCTGTGCGCTAGGCTAGTTAGGTCCATGCAGAAACTTGTGATGGATGCTCTTATAGTTGTGGCATTACCGTTTAGTGACGTCATTGAATGTTCCGGGAAAACCAAGCAAACAATAAAATGACTCGCCATCACCTGTTGTGGTGGTTTCTGGTTAGGACAAAAACGTAAAGGGGTAGTCCACCCAAAAATTTAAATTTTATAATTTACTCAACTAAGGTTGTTCCAAAAATGTATAAATACTATTTTTTTGAAACTGTTTTGTTTACCAACATGCTTCAACATATCTTTTATTAACATTCCACATAATAAAGAAATGCATATGTTTAGAATGACATGAGGTTGAGTAAATTATGCCAGTATTTAAATTTTTGAATAGACTATCACTTTAACATTAAAGATTACAGATTACAAACTGCCATTGACAGTGATCTACACAGCTTACCAAGATGCTGTATTGTTGGTCAGTAATAAGCATTCTGCTCTTTTGGTTTATTTCTTTATTGGTGGACTGCAGAAACCATGACTATTAAACCACTGACCACAAAGGCATTACCACTAAACAAGACAGCATTTCATTTTGACAATTTATCAGGTTTTTCAAGGGGGAAAAAAGTAATACATAATGTAACATATTGTGACTAAACAAAAATCAATTAGTTACAATAACCTTATCTATCTTGCTTACAATCAATTGCCTCATGTGTCTGCGCTGTCATTGGTTTTCTGAGCATTGTGCTGCTCTTTCTTCTCATTTGCATTAGTCAAATCACGACCTCTCATTGAAATCAAATGACTTTCAGTGGCTCTGAAAACCATTGAGCAAACCTTACAATGAGAAAGATAGAAATTTGTGTGATTTGTTAACCTGGTTGGACACAGTGAGTATATACGTATTTAAACAAACTTTTCACACTCTTAATAACATTTCATTTTCTTTCTTGTCATATTTAGAGTTCGAAAAGATACAGTGAGTGTGAATTTGGTGCTGTTATTTTGTCACTGTCACTGAAGCACTGAAGCATCACTGCAAACATCTGGGGTTGTTCCTCATTTTGATTGTAAAGTGTCCCTTGAGGTGCTGGTGTAATAAGACGTTTAAGGCTATTGTGATGCATTAGTGCCCTCCAGTGGCAATCAAAATAAATGCACAGTCAAAAAAAAAAGTAATCTCAAAGATGCTTCATGTCAGAAAGCACAATTCCACTGTCTGACTGGAATTTTACAGGCTTGTTCTGTTCACCTTAGAAGATCTATAATAACTGGAGAAGCTATCCTTGAGCATTTCCATTCAATGGCAGTTGTTAGGCTGGCACAAGACCCCACAGAAAACTGCCATCTTTGCTCATGGGTGCTTCTTTGTGCTGCCAGGTTTTTTAAGCCAATAATTCTGACTAATCACTAGAGCTGCATGAAAATGACGTCAATGCTGATGACTCCACAAGAACACATAATCCCAAACCATTCACTAGCGCCTGTCTTGAGCTAAGAACTGAAACAGACAGGGCAAAATAGTAATTCTTTTTGCTTTTAAGAGTCCTATAAAAATACTATAATATAATGAAATTGTGATTATTTTGAAAGATCGTCAGTGGAGAAAGAATGTTTTGCAGCCAAATAATGCAGCACAATGCACCCCCTAACTACACCCGTCTACGATATAATCACATTGGTTCAAAATCACACTCCGCATGGCAGTAATAAACACTACATATGTTCTGTTATGGCTGTGATTTTGTCACTTCACTCAACATTTTTTCTTTCAGTGAGTAAGGAACAATGTCGCTGAAAACACAGTGTCTGATTAGGACATCTTGAGATGTGGGGGTGTGTGTGAATGAGTTTGCTTGTGTGTGGGTTCATTCATGCATGTGCACATGTTCACATATTATCCATATTGTTCATGAATTGTGACAAGTACTTTACTAAAAACAAAATGGCAAGTACTTCAATGGCTTACATATGCTGATAAAAATATTGAGGGCAGTCTTATTTGTGATTTTTTTTATTTGCACTTTGTTGTTGAATGCAAATACATTTTCATAGCTGCTTGATATCTATTATTTTAATATTAAACAAAAATTTTTAGACAGTAAAAGATGATTTTGTTGACAGTTTTCCTGGTTCTGGAGAAAGATTTTGTTTGTGCTCCTGAACAGACAGCATGGCCTAACTGGATTTTTAATTTTTCTGATAAATATGAAGAGCAGTTTTGATTTGGTCCTTAAATGTTGCATCTGTGTTTCCTTGTACTTCCGAAGTTTGTATTAATTTGTCTTGTTTTCTAAAAATCGTAGTTAAGAACGTTGAGTTGCAATCCTTAATGTACACACTGAGCCCCTGGTTTGGTTTATGAAGGCTTATTTTAACCTTAGATGCAAAGAGTTAGACAACAACAAACCAGCCCAAAGTCTGGTGGGAGTCTGCTAGGAAAAAAATAAGAAAAAAACTTTGTGTTATACTGGCTGTGTTACACTCTCCCTGAACAAGTGACATTAGGCTGAGCAGTTGCAGCAGCAGTGACAGCTACTTGGATTTGGGATGGAAATACTGCAAATGAAGAGTCCTGAACAGACAGCATGGCCTAACTGGATTTTTAATTTTTCTGATAAATATGAAGAGCAGTTTTGATTTGGTCCTTAAATGTTGCATCTGTGTTTCCTTGTACTTCCGAAGTTTGTATTAATTTGTCTTGTTTTCTAAAAATCGTAGTTAAGAACGTTGAGTTGCAATCCTTAATGTACACACTGAGCCCCTGGTTTGGTTTATGAAGGCTTATTTTAACCTTAGATGCAAAGAGTTAGACAACAACAAACCAGCCCAAAGTCTGGTGGGAGTCTGCTAGGAAAAAAATAAGAAAAAAACTTTGTGTTATACTGGCTGTGTTACACTCTCCCTGAACAAGTGACATTAGGCTGAGCAGTTGCGGCAGCTACTTGGATTTGGGATGGAAATACTGCAAATGAAGAGCAATACTTAAACATGGAGAATGAGACGTCAATTTTGTATATGTACTGTGTGCCTTGAGAGGTTACACCACTTAGACGTTGGGTTGAGGAGTGGTGCCCTGTGCAACCACCTGTCTGCATCCTTACAGTCTGACCCAGTTGTAAAGGCAGAAGACTGTGGGCATTACAGTCATAATATTATTTGCTTTTCTTTCTCTTCCTGGCCAGTACTGCCTTGATGTTGAGGCATACATAAAGTGTCAGCCTGCCTTGAGCTCAGCTCAGCTCGTGCACCTAGAGAGGAGGAGTTAGGCAGGGGATGGCAGGTCATCCCGGGGAAGATTACGCAGATGAAGTAAAGCAGCTTTTGTCACTTCACTCCCTATAGTACTTCTCCAGCAGATGTTTAGCAGATTGCCCTGCACACTCTGCAAGGCCATTAGAGAGTAGTAGTGAGGGCTACTCCAAATGTGCTCGAAGTCCCGTGTATGTACAAAATCTAAAAAATTATTGCATACTGCTGTGCATTATCAGTATTGAGTGGGTCCATGTTAGGATGCATCAGCTGAGAGAGCAATGGTGAAGTCTAAGAACTGGAGGATGACACTATATCTT